GATCACTATGCAACTAGTGATATGCTACAAGTAGAAGTAGTTGTATAAATGGAACAAAATTTTGAGTAACAAGAGCTATAAGAGCTGGTTATTGTTGATGAGATTCACATGTTGGGACTAAACTATAGAAATTTATTAGGATCTCCTACTAAAAGATAATAAAATTGTGCTAGTAGAGCTCTTCAAATATTTGATGGAAGTGCTAGCTCATATATGAAGATATTGACATTGATATAGGGAATGAAGATGGTATCGTGTTGATACTTGAAGAAGTGAAACATTTTTTGTACAAAGAAGCTCATGCTTTGGTTAATAAGATGGAGTGAAATAATGCTATAGAACGTGAGATGATATTGTTGATTGATAACAAGACTTTGGAGTTAGTTGAGCTTTCTAAGTATGAGACTTTGATTGATAATTAATGGATGTATAAGGTGAAGTACAATCAAAAAATTATGGATGCAAGAGTCTTTAAAGCTAAGTTGATATCTAGAGATTTCATATAGAAAAAAGGTGTGGACTATAATAATTTTTTCTTACTTGTAGCAAAGTATATTACAATTTGTGTGATATGTGTATTGTTATGGATTAAGATGACGTGATTATAGCTGTTATCTATGAATATTTAGAGTATGAAATCTACATAAGACAATCAATTGACATGAAGTGAATGTTTAGTAGAGATTGATTTGCATATTATTGAAATCACTATATGTACAAAGAAAATATTTTATGCAGTGAAACACACGTTTTGATAAGTTAATGAAGGCACAAGGATTTTCACCGAGTATGTATGATACTTGTTTCTACATGAAGAAGATGAATGATGAGATTTTCAAATTTTCATTTCTCTAGTACTCTACATTATAACATGCTCATCTTTGCAAAAAATCCATCCAACGTTAATGCAATAAACAATTGCAGTATGCATTGAAAATAAATGATTTGAGTAAATCAAAGAGTATATTAGACATGAAATTTTGTTTGAAACAATTGAGTGAAAAATATGGTTAAATCAAGGCAAGTACATTCAACCTATATTTCACATGTTCAACAAGAATCTAAAATAGTAATGACTTCTTTGGCAGCAATTTTTAAACTTTGAATCGTATTGATGTCCTTGAAAAATAAAAAATGTATTATGTTTCCTATGAACAAGCTTTAGACAACCTCATGTATTTGATGATGTGCACTATGTTTGATATTGCTTTATCTCTGGGCAAGCTAAGCAGATACATGTCAAATTTAGGAAAGATTTGTTGGAAAACAATGAAACTAATTCTCATGTATTTTAATAGTATTGTGCATTATGGTTTATTATTTGATGATTTATTAGACAAAGTAAAAATCTTGTTAAACTACATTGATGTTGATTACGTATTGTAAAATCTGGACAATACAACTCTACTACTAAGTAGCTGTTTACACTTTGTGCTGTATTATTAGTTTGGAATCTATCTTACAAGGTTGTGAAGCTTAATTAACAACAAAAGTTGAATATGTGGTGGCAACAAAAGCGGCAAAAGAAGCTATTTTGATAGATAAACTTATCATAGAGAAAGGTTTGAAATAGGGCGTGATTAATGTTCATTGTGATAACCAAAGTGCTTTACATTTGGCTGCAAATCAGTTAAACTTGTAACAATATAGTTTGACATGTACAATCTATTGTCTTCTCTCATCGTGAACAATACGTGCACAATATAACAAGATAGAGTTACATCAAAGAGATGATAACTCACGTTATATCTTATGTGTATGTGTTAACTATTATTTGTGCATTTTAGATTTTAATGTTATAATTGTTTAAGTTTGATTTTTGATTATATGAACTAACAAATGAATTATATACAATTTGTGTCAAACAATTTTATACAAAAATCTAAAGTTGAAATTTTTTTGTCCGTTACAATCTATCAAAAAATCTCCAAAAAATACTCTACAATCTAACTCTAACAATAAACATCAACACATTTATGCTTAAAAATCGTAATTTTTGAAATAATTTGTTCAAAAAAAATTGTTTGATATAAAATTAATAAGTATCGTAAAATGTATTTATTTTGACAACTTTGAAAAAAAATATTTAAACAAAATAAAATTGATCATTTCAGGTGGATCATTTGCTATGAAATTCAACATTCAAACAATAGTAACAAGAAAGTTTTACTAAAATTTTCAAATTATGTTTGAAATAACAAATTTTGTTTTTTTAACAAAACAAGAGCAAGCAAGTTGAATCTCAAAGTAACTTTAAATGGAAAAGTCAATCAATTCATGAATAGATTTTTGATAAACTTTATATATCACCATTTAATATTGACATTGACTTCAATGTTTCAATTAACTTCTTAAGTCCTTTATTTTGACATGTATACACTTTTGATTTGAAAATTGAAAAGTTGCAGATGTGAAAATAAAATTTCACAATTTTATTTATATTTATACATTTAAGATCTTTTTAATTTCAACAAAATGAATGTCAATATAAAATTTCAATTGTTTTGTGTTGCTTTGAAGTTATAAAACTTTGGTCCTTTTTCAACTTGTCAAATATTTTTTATTTTAGATGTTATTTGCATGATATATCTTTTGCTAATACAAGGATATATTTATTGGATCATGATGTTATCATTTTAAATTTTAGTTTAATCTAGAATAAACTTAACCAAAGATAAATATGAAGTTTTATTATGATAGATTGTTTATATTAATTTGTAAAAATCCATAAGCTTGGTTGAAAATGATTAAGTGTGTTGTTTAGTGCGTTGATTGAAAACAACATGTAGACGATACAAAGTTTGATAACTAGATCTCCGAGGTTATCAATTAACAAATTTGAAATGTGTGAAATGGATTACAAGATAAATTTATTTCTTGTATAGGTTTTCAAGATAAATATACAAGAAATTACATTCAATCTAAATATTTTTCATCTTTAAATTGTTTCTATCATTTTAAAGTGAGTTTTTTTTAATAATATCTTGAAATTATAAATAAAAACATAACTTGAAAAAAAGTGTCAAAAGTTTTTGCAATCTTGTAAATTGCTTAATTTGACATTCTTACTTCTTGCAATTAGATTATTATAGCATCTTTAGATCAATAATACCAAGTGATAGGGTTGTTGAACCTCTATCTCTCCTAGACTACTATAAACACGTATGAAATTATGATATAGATAATGACTCCTTAACGTATATACTTATGTCTTTACGATGTTATTTGACAAATAATTATTGGTTTTGACTAAATATTTGCAAACTTAAACATTTGTTCATCATCTACTTCTGAAAGTTTTACAATACGGTGTTTGATCATTAGAACTCTTTTAGTTATTTGAATTCTCTTGTTGACAAGTCATCTTAAACATGATTTTACAATCTTCAAATATTTCACTTGCAGTGTAAATCATCATGACAAATACACAACTGTATTTGCTTCTGATAAAAAATTAATGAGCAGAGCATTGATTTCAATTTTCTGATGAAATTGCTTGAACATGAATATCAAATTATGTTTTTTGATGCACAAATCTTGAATTATGACACAAAAGTTTTATACTCAATTGATGCTTCTTTCTACAGATGTAACCATATTGATTTTTCATGGTTATTTATAGGCATGTTCACAATATGATGCAATAAACTAGAAGTAACTTAAAGATAACATCTGATCATGGAGATACAAGTTTGTGATTGAAAATTTAGTTGTATTTTTAGCATTTTTTCCAAATTATATTTTTATTATATTTCGTATATCATTTATTTCTGAATGCATATAGATAAATACTGTATATGTACCCCATATATATATATATATATATATATATATATATGAGGAAATCTTATAGAAGAAAGCAAAAGATAAATATATAATTGCATAATCCTACACAAAGATCAAATTTTTAAATATCAAGGGTAAACTACGTATATTGATTTGCTGATAATACTTCCATATATACTTCAATCATACCTAGTAAAACCAACCATCATTCATATTACATGTTATATTTACTGTAGGTTTACTTTATATATATATTATTTTGTTTACTTTTCTATTTCTTATTTTTCGTTGTTTTGATCCATCCATGTTCATCATTATGGCTCGTGGGTGAATATGGTACTATTTAAAAGTTGGCAGCTGTTGCCATGATGAGAATGGTAATATAATGTTTATGATGAAGGGGAAATTGGTATTGATTTACAATTATTAGGATTGAGTCATATTGACAGTTTATTCAAATGAATTATTTTACACTAAAAAATAAGATGGTTATCAACATTTCGTGTGCTTCAACTTGAAAAGCGTCATTGCGGATATGCTTTATTTTAGTCTCCGTTGGGTCAAGTTGAGCTCTAACAAAAATATTTGCCAAGTACAAAAGCATATAAAAGAATATGTTTTTTAATTTCTACCTTTGAAAAAAGACTGAATACGAAAGACTTTACATTGTACATGTTTATTAGAAAGAGATAAAGGTCTATCACATGCTAAACGATTATCTTATTTACGTTGTATTTATATAATATATTATAGGAAACATGTTTTGTTGGTATGACAAGGAAAATCAATCAAAAGGATGTTGTTGGTCCAGTATGATAGGGTTTGTCTCATTGTGATAGGGGACTAGTCTAATCCCCGTTTGGTTTAATCTATGTAACGCTTGATGTTATCTAACGTTTATCCTATTAACTTGGTACTTGTTCTTTAAGGTCAGGATCATAACAAAATATTAGTACCTTGTTTCACGTAAACTTAGAAATGAAGATGACTATGATCACTGCGTCCGGTTTGACGAGCTTAAAGAATTTTGAACTGAAGTGCTAATGGTGCTCATAATACGCAAGATGCGTAGGATATGTGGGCATTTTAAGCCGGATGTTGTTTGTTTGGAGGGCGATGGGAATTGGCTGGGACGCCGATCTTCGGGGTGTAGATCGGCAATCGCTCGACGTAGATACTGTATATCTGAACTTACTCCTCCTCGTGTAGGAATCTTCCTCCCGGTATTCAAACTTCGACGACATTAGCGAATGCTCTAATGGACAGTCGAGACTCCGGCAACCATTCAATTACCCCCGCTCTGCGGACTGGGGACGTTCCTCTGACCCGGCGTTTCTTCTCTCCTGCTCCACTCAGTCCATCTGTTCTCCGAATTCTAGCAATCGAGGCTGCGGCGACGCCTACCGCCGGCGAATGAAGAAGAGACGCTACAGCCAGGACTTGAATTTTGTTAAACCCTCAAAACACGCTGTCGATGCTCTCTCCAGCTTGAATCACTGACTATAAGAAACGCAGAACAGAAGAGGAGAACGACTGCTTAGAGTACTTTTTAATCATGTCATAGAAACTTCGGAGCTACGATGGTGCAGTTCATGAGGAAAGGGCAGTTGTTTCCAGAGCAGGTCGCATCACATGGCTTCAAGTTGAGCAACATCTATCTAGTTGAGAAATCTAACCTCCGGCTTCTGCCTCATTGTAAAATTGGAGCAACATTTCATATACGGCGTAAGTTTCATCCGCAGGTGACGACTCAGTTCTGTGTCAATTCGACCATCTCAGAGGCTTACAGTTTACTCTTGAACACCGGCACGGATGGCGCGTCAAAAACTGAGCGGAGCAGGAATAAATTCTTTTTCAGCAGAACGGCGGAAGGTCACGAATCACTGGATACTGAAGATGTCGGCGTGTCGGCTAACGAGGTACCGTGTTTGAGTGAAAATCAACGATGGATTATCGTGAAGCAAAAAATTGCTGGCCTCCTGTCCAATGCAGAGAAACTCTCTCAGGGGAGTCCGAAAGTTAGGCACAGCTTAGCAGTTGATTTTGGTGATGTCAAAACCGGTCTCTCCATCAGCCTCAAAGGATACGCTCCTCGACCTTTAACTGTAAATTCTCAACTCTGTTTGCCGAATGTACTGATTATGTGGAGCTTCCACCTTCAGCAGATTTATATTTCAAAACCTGAGCGGTGGATTTTATAAATACTTCATTAATATGGACAACTTGGATCAAGTAAACCGCAAATGCTGGAAACGTTACTCATACGAGCAGTGATAGATCTCACAGAACTATTAATATCTGACCTCTTCGCCCCTTCAATTAATTTCCGATATTATTGACAGATTTATCCCAATTTTTTTCATCAAGCGTCGTTGCAGTTGTCTCTCTATTCTAGTGGCTCTGTGCTGTACAGATGTTGGTGCCCAATGTGTTCTTGCATTGACTTAGATTAGTTGCTTCACATGCCTTGGTGCAGCAGCTGGTTAATTATTGGAGTATTACTTTATACCAGGTACTTCGCTTTCGTGGGGACAAACTTATTGAGCAGCTGATGGAAGTCGCTACTAGAGAGGTGAGATTTGGTGATCCTATTCAAAGAAAAGCAGTCTCCTTCATCAAGCGTCTATCTCACACGTATTTTGACCATCTTAGACTGCCTTCAGGTGAAAGCCTTTGTTGTGAATCTTTGTCGAGTCGAAGAATTACCACGTTTGATCTAAATCTTTTCTCTGCATGTGGCAGAAAGTTGATGAATTTATTGTAGGCCTGCCAAGAACGTCCGATGGTCGGGAAACAGAACAGTCAAACAAGACTCGAAGCTTTGCAGGCAGGCTTGCCGGCCAAGCTGCTCTTAGGTAAGGTATGTTGTGTTTGTTCCTTGGTTTTGGTTCGCTTGATTCAATTGGGAGTATAGACCCTTCAATTTTGTTCAAAGTTGAGTCAATCATAATTCGCACATGATGTTTTGTCTTCTTTTGATGATTGCCTTGGTTTTAGTCCTAAGACAGTGAATCTCATGTGTGAAGTTGTCGGAACATGGCACATTCAGTTTTGCCCTTTATTGCAAAACACTACTTGAAGATACTCTGATTGAGAGCATACAGGCTAACAAGTGTCGTTGTGTTGTGCACCTCACCAGGGGCTGGAGAGTATACCTCCTAGATGAATATGGAACCTCACGAGATGGATTGGATTACATGCTGGAGATGTAAATCATATAGAAACCCAATCTTTTTGTTCATGGTGCTTCATAAGATTGAGTTCTGTTGAATAGGCCTTGAGACTTCTGCAAAGCACGGTTTGCAGACTCTAGAGCCTGCTCAATTTTCTTCATGAAGTTGTACGGCATGACGAAGACTTAATTACTCGGATTTTGTTACTCGCAGATTGGTTTCCCTTTATACCGATTTATTTTCATTGCATACGGAGGAGATATCACTCGTGCCTAATGTCTTGATTGGATTTGACAGGGGTTTGAAGAAACGCTTTCGAAAGGAGAAAATTGATGCATACGCTGCTTTGGTATACTCATTTCCTCGTCAAGACAAAATGTGTGAAACAGCTAGTTGTATACATTGTATGATGAACCTCATGGTCCAAATGTGACATCAATATAGTCCTAAAATCCAAGCAGTTGTGCACATTCATCTCCGAACAAAAACTTTATAATGATGGAACTCTTATTGTGATGCAACTCAACGTTTGAGTCTTTTTTGACATAATTGCAAATCAATTTTAGTATACCTTTAAATCTCCTCAATCTCGTAGATGTTCTATTCCACTTCCACATCTGCAGCTTTTCCAAATTTTTATCTTTTGTCGTTATGCTTCTTGCGTTTTAAAGTCTCATCTATATTTCAGTCTCTATTGTTGCAGGACTGTAGTTAAGTTCAAGTTGATATTCTATAACATTTCACCTTCAAATCAGTCACCTTGTCTGACTAGTTTTGTTAGTTCTCGTTGGCTGGGCTACTCAAGTCTCTAGCTACTTTCTTACAGGAAGTTTTTCTGTTGACGGAATGTCTTTTTTTCTTCTTTGATTTGATCAAGTTTCAGCTAAGACTTTGATGTCATTAAGGACATTATCTGGCACGCAGTATCATAAGTAACTTTGAGAAGTGCAATCTTTCAGCTAACAGTATGATACATATTGCGAGTTTTAAAACTGTCTTCGTAACTCATGCAGTGGAATTAGGATATCCCAAGTGAAAGACAAGATAGTTCTAAGGAGAGCCAAAACTGCGAGTCACAAAGCGTTGCTGTTTTGATAATGTCAAGAGAGTGTGACATTTTAACGTAAGACCATACCACTGGATGAATATGAAGAAAAATGTTGGAATAACGTATTTTAAGATTTAAGTGCTAATCGATGTCCTGTATATGCAGATTCTTTTGTCTTCTTATTTCGGCAGCAAGGGAGCAGGAGCACAGCTTGTGGTGCCAAAAGGATTAGCCGCTCAGGAGCAGTTGTGCCTAGGTAGCAACTTCCTTGTAGAAGATAACGTCAAAAGTTACACAGATTATGACTTCGATGACGATGATAACTATGAATATTACGACTGAATCACACCGGATCTGGATCGTGATATATATGCTAAAGCTTCAATGTTCTTCTTCCAAACTACGTTAATTCTAGCAATAAGAAGGTTTGAGGTCTCTCTAATCTCTTGTTGATTCATTACAAAGTAAGAATGTGGCCACACGTCAACTCTGTGTAGTTAAATGTAGTACCCAAGTGGAGGTCACGTATAAGGGTGTGGAAAATGGTCAATGCAGTCAGATTCGAAGCAAGCAGTGCCTTGCCGGAACTAGTTCGAAATGTCGTTTGACGTTTAAACGTAATATAATAACTGTAGTGCCACTGGCCAATAGAAATGATGGCGGAAGTACTGTCGAAGAAAGTACAAATCCGACTACACCCAGCCCCGTGCTTGTGCGTCCGAAAGAGAGTAATCAGGCTATGGTATTAGGAGCGTTGGCCAGATCTCTTCAGAGCGAATGTAAGTATGTTAAAAACTGTCGCTCCTTCATGTGCATAGCATATGTTGGATCATCACATGATCATAAGCTTTTCGCACAAGCTTTGCTTCAAATATCTCTTCGAAATTTCTTAATAGAACGTTGTAACCACCACATATATAATTACAAAACAGTGTGAACGAAGATGCAATTGCAAATGGGAACAGCTCTGCAGAATTAGTTGCAAAAAATCAACAATTTGTCAGAATTAAATTTATGCCCTTTATATCTTCTTACATGGTGAGAAGACGAATAACATCGATCATTAGACTAATTGACAATAAATACTTCGCTACTGTAGCTCTTGCATTCGTTTGAAATTATTGTGTGAAGCAACTAAAACAATCATTACTTGATAGCAACTAAGAAAATATTTTATAAACCTTGTTCAGATTGAATTCAAAAAAATGTTTAAGGCATATTTGATAGATTTAAAAAATATGATCAAGGCTACGCACAGTAGAAACTCAAAAGCAGTCAGTCTATTGAGACATATCAGTCCAAGTTCAAATTTTTTTAATAAATCTCTCAATCATATTTAAATTTCTGCTAAATTACAGGTATTTCTGCTTTCAAATTGGATAAAATGTTGCCTAGTATCAATCTATGCAATAAATTTTTCATCAACTTTACCTCACGAATAATTGTAATCTGCAGTTTACACCTTCATTTTAAAATTCAAAACAAAAAATTTATGCCCCTTGAGTTTCATTTACTTTTTTTCAGTGAATGTGTAAATATCATAACCAACATAAAATTGCCTATATGATGGTAGATGTAATTAGGATTTGAATATATATTTTATGTTGGTTATGATATTTAGTCTCTTGACAATTTTATCTCGTCATGTATTCAACATATTTTTTAAGACTCGTTCCAAAATTGTTAATGATTAGGATATTTCTTGATCTCACGACGCGAAGAATTGTTGAACATATACACATTTAGAAATGCCATATTTTTAGCCAAATAGTTGATTTCAAATTTAGAATTCACTTTAGTTGTTTAAACCTTAAATGATAACCGTGCAGAATAGAGTGTGTGAGTATAAGTTAGACTCTATTTTTTTGGGTAAACATTGTGATACTACAACAAATCACAAAGATAACATGCATACATATGATTTTAAAGATAGGTATAATATAATGTAAACTTCTACCAGATATGTCAATAGATATCATTCACAATATAAATATATATATATATAGATATATATATATATGTTAATGAATCTTTATGGAAGATTATAACATTTACATAAATTACATGTTTAGTTTTTTTTCAAATTTGTTTTCATTGAAATATAAACTTTGTCTTAACTGTTGATCACAATGAAAATCTGTGAAAATTAAGGTATTCATATATACGTTAAAAAAATGTCTCAAATTTTTTCTTCTATCTTTGGTAATTGAAATTATTCGACTATCCAATTGATACAGAAGTTACTAAAGCTAAGTTACTTAATCCAAACTATCACATTACATACTTTCATTACAAATGATTGTTTTTATTTCCTGTTTAAAGAGCATCTTGACAGTAAAGCTAAAAGTCTTGTACGGATGCTGTGACCGCTAGCTGAATAAGTTCAAAGATTTGAATGTAGTTAGAAAAAAGGCATGTGTAATATATGATCATATAAAGCACATGCTTCGATCTTTTCTATGGTCTATATTAAGCGCAAGGGTACAAAATATTGATAGCTAGAATCTTATACGTATAAAAGTTTTACAAACCTGTTATTATTGTGAAATCAATTATTTTATTCAAAATATACTGCATAAGCTGTGGATAAGTCAATAATATTAAATAACGTTCAATTGCTCTAAAATCACAATTTACATATAGTCATTAAGTTTTAATGATATCAATTAAGATTGTTGTTTTTAATGTTTAAATAGCCAAATTCTCAAGTTCAAACAATCTGCAAATGACAGGAGGACTACTTATGTATAAGATTAGTTTACCTTCCTTAATAATTTTGTTGTACATTCTATGAATTAAATCTTACAATGGGCTAAAAATGATATTTATAATTCAATCTAAGAGTCTGTAGCGCCCTCTGTAGCTATCATCAAGGACATAGGCTACGTATATGATGCTAAAAATATAAGTTAGAATATATCTACATTTAAATATTATATTCAGTGGAACATTTTGAAGTGATTTATAAAGTTTTAATCAATTTATTGAAATTTACCTTTTACAAACTATCGTGATTGTGTTATGTACATGGAGAATTTATATTTTTGTAATAAAATATAATCATGACATACAGTATACAAGCAATCAATTTTAGAAATCAATCAGAAGTATGAACTAAGATATATAGTGTTTACAAATAATGATAATGACTAATCAATTGAATAATTCGGTCTGAAGTCGTCTTTGTATTTTTAATTAAATATTTAAATTTATGTTTGGTTAAAATATTGTTTGGTTATAAACCTTTATTTACATAACTTCCTATCGATACTATTGCTGCCCAGCAGAGCCCAACATTGGCCGCCCACACCCATGCCCAAGGGTTTTGGGTGATCTTATTTTTCCACGGGAGGGCACAAGTAATGATAAAGGCAGTGTCTTTCAAAATCCAACCAAGAGTTGGTGTAATTTGAGTAGTATGGGTGGGCTTAGGTCGTTGCTGATGGTTATGGTCTGGTCTGGGTGCAGATTTGAAGTAACTTTTATATGTATGTGGCCTCCTATGTGATTATAATTCTGATGCCCGATTAGATTAATTCATTTTGACTTGATGAATTGAATTCATTATTCTTATGCATAGACAATTTAGACTTAGTTATGATAGACAGAAAATTAAATAACGATTTTTCATGTTTATGAATAAAAAATAATAATAAAATGTTTAGTATAAAAAACAGATTTGTAATACTTTTATACATTTTTTCCGACGACAGGTATGATATCAATGCAAAATAATAATAAAGCGATTCGGGGTGTCAGAACTAATGAACATGATGTAGGATTTCAAGTAACCCATACTGCAGTTTCTTCCTTATATCCTGCAATGCTGTAGTTATTTCAGTAGATAATAGTGGTTTATAATTATGAGGAAATAATGGTAGACAACTCTTGCGGGAAGGTAGCACTGTAGACGGATGAAGGAAACGAAGGAAAAAAACCGATATTTGTTTTACACATTGAGACTGAAATAGTCCGAGAATAAAGTGATTTATACATGATAACAAATCAGTTTTTATATCATGTCCGGTCAAATAACTAAAAAATGTACTGAAAAGTGATAAAGAACTAGTTTTGATTGCGATGGAGGTCAACCGGAGATGCTACGCAGTGTACTGTTCTTCATGAAACCTTTGTAAATCATATTTTAAAATTAGAAACAAAAAAATGAAAAGAAAATTTCTGGTGACAGCACAATGAAAGTACGTTCATGATAGTAACAATTTGGATATCCAATAGCCATTGTAGTATGCTAGGAGAAACGTGCCTAACTTTCCGCGACGGTAAAAGTGCAGGAAAATGATATAAAATAGAAAATAATGTACAGCACAGAATTGTGTCATAAAAAATTGCTCTTTTCGAGGAATGATTGAGAGAAGTAACCACCGTGTTCTTGTTCGTAATATACGATGCGTTTGCGGGAAATAAAGATCGTCGGGAAAGGTGAGAAATGAAGCGAATGAAAACCGAAAACAATAGGAAGAAGGACAAAGACGAGAACGAACGGTAGACAAGGACTAGGACAGGCCCCGAGGGCAGAATTGAAGGAGGCGAGGGCACAATTAGTACAAAATTCGACTCTTCACGCCTGCTCTTAAGTCTTAAATGTGCTAATTAAGCTAATAGTCAGGCGGTCGGGAAAAGCCCGTGTAAAGTAGAGGCGAAGAAAGTAGAGGGAAAATGTCGTACCGAAACTCTAAGTAAATGTCGTAGGGTCATGATACAAAACCCACCAAAACAGCCGAAGAACGCAACGGGCGGCGAAACGTTAAGCAGAATCGGGAATGGTTCAGAAGGGATCACCTGTATCAGCACAATTTCACTGACCTGCTCTAAACATCTGATGCTAATTTCGCAATGGTCGTAATGGGAGGGAAAGGGTGACCCTGTATCGTTCTGTATGGTGCGGATTTCTTCAGCTGCTGCTGGTGTTACCTTCTGCGGAAGGATGTGAATGCTTGTTGGTTTGTTGTTTGCGAGTTACTGCGAACCACTCACAGCTTTCAGTCTCACCAGTCACTCATCAATGGGTTGATGGAGAAGAGACCAATTTGGAAGTCCTGAGTACATGCCTGCTGCCTTCAAAAAGAGACGCGGAGAAAACCTCTATGAATGCCAAACGGAAGGTGTGCAAACTCCCGAGACGCCGAGAGCGATAGGTGCCCGCTACGCTGCTGCTCCTGCTTTTGATAAAACACCTCATCTTTCTTCCTTCCCTTCACATCCTCTTTCCTCTCCACACATTTACATCTTCTTCGTCCCTGTCCTTGTCGATAACGAAGGGCCTCCTTGTATTTCGTGTGTCGTTTTCTTTCGCAGTCTTGGTGTTCTCAACGGAATGCTGTAATGTCTACTACAGTTCGGTCTCTTGTTTGAGGAAGGGTCGAGTCTCGTCCTTGTGTAGGGTGCAAGTTGGTTGGGTCAAGGTTGGGCGTGGTGTGCTCCTGTTGCCTTAGGGCGATCGCACGAGGAATTCGAAATTTGGCGAGGATTCAGACGGAGTAGGAGCTTGGGAGGGTTGGAAGTTGGAGGTGTGGAGTGGTGTAGGAATGGGAGAATATAATGAAGTGCACGGGTAAACAGTTCAGTCCAGGTTATTGGAGCTTGACCTAATACTGAAGTCCGAGTTGTCTGTACCAGGTGGAGACTTTGTAGGAATTTGGGTTGTAATCGACCTTGGGACATGCTGCACAATAGGTGTGGTTTGGTTTCGGTGGACCAGTGGTTCAGGGTGGAGCCTGGAGCGAAGAGATACGCGGGCTGGTGTGAAGTACCGTTAGTTAGGATTCTCAGGTGGCTGCCGAGAAATTGATCGAGACGTCGACTGTGTTTCCGCCATCATTCTGATATAGCTGATGTGCTGTAAAATGCACAATTTGTGAAAGTCTACAATCTGTTTGCCATGGCTAAACACGACAGTGGTGAGGAGGGCATTTACGAGGGCGAGGGTGATGGAGAGGAGGTACGACCGCTTCACGAAAGTTCTCATGATCGATTGAACATAGTGTTAAGTTGAGGGACTAACAATATCCTCTTTAAAGACTCTCAACTCAAGTAATAGCACAGCGTGTTTGCGGACCGTAGATCGCGGATTGATCAACTTGTGTCGATAATGGCGTCAAGTCGATTGATGATTTGAAATGTATGCTGGTTATTCGGATAATTATCTGTATTACAGGTGGGTCGTTGGAAGCTTTTAGAATGTACTGCTGAGAGCTCTCTTTTAAAAGTTTGGGCTCTACACATTTAAATATGCGAAGACACGCTTCAAAGCTATGACGATTTGATCTGCTAGTGGAGCAGGAGTATAGTGTACTTACTTTTTCTTGAAGTGAATAATCAGACTAGAACCAGGAGTCGGACCGCAACCTTAGCGATCAACTTTTCTTCAGTTAGTTGGGTTTCACGACCGTTAGGTACTCACTTGAGTAATTTATTAGATGGGTTTGTAACAAAGCGATCTAGCACAAATTTCGGATTTCCTTGAGAAGTTGCCTTGATTCGTATCTCTTCCTTTGGGGTAACTGGACCCCTCGAAATGTTGCGGTCGGGTAATTGATAAGAAAGATGTAAGAAGTTTGCTGAAGTTTCTGGAAACGATGAAGCTCTACAGGTATTCGGGCTGAAGCCAACTCAATCAAGTTTGTCTTTACTGTCTCAGGACTACGGTATCATGGCGGACAGAGGACGGGGTCGTCCACCAAAACGAAAGCCTGCAGCCTATTACGACGATGCAGAGGCTTTGGAAGAAGACTGGGAAGACGATGGGGAGCCAGGGAATGAAGACGAAGAAGTTATGGAGATTCTCAAGATGGAACAGGTATATACTAGTTTTGAGATATATAGAGTGCATAGACTTTCAAATTATATCTCTATAGGCGGTAACGGTGGATAGCGACTTTAGATGATCTCAGCTCAGAGCCGTGGCTGCAAGAGATGATCTTTGGTCAGCAATACAATTGTGCAGATGACGGTATTTTTTGGAACCAGTTAGACCTTTCTCCGAGGCTTCCGACAGTCTTTATGTCATATACTTGCACTCCGAGTCTCATTTCTTCAAAAAATGTTTGTATAATGGGCACAGGGTACTCAATTTTGTGTCTCACGATCTACAATATGTACATCCAATATATTTCATTATTTCGTATTCAGTACTTGTACTTGATCTCGCTACATAAACATATTCTCTTGTCTCATCTTCCCCATATTACAGTAATAATTGTGGTGGAAAAACCACGAGTATCTGTTGGACTGGCGGATAGGTGCTGGGGTCAGCCATGTTGGCAAAGGTCTATCTCCACTTTTTGAACGAATTTCCCTTTATTATGAGCCATGACCAACGAGCGTTGGAAGAGAGTAGAACGTCACGTTATTTGACCCACAAGTACTGGACAGTGGTGTTACTTCCATTATCGAACGAAAGCCAACGATCTGAATGAAGAAAGTTACAGCCAGATTATGGCTGATTGTTACACTAGTAGATTGACAAGCACGCAATTGTTAAGCAAACCTCTGTGTTGAAAATATGCCACGCGTATCTATAGTGGAAATTTTTTATTATTTACAATGATTCCCTTTCCTTTTAGACTATCTTGTCAAAAACAAATCAGTTTGTTTTAATTCTCGTGGGATGATTCTAGGTGCTTCCGAATACCTTGTAGGGTCCTAGTACTATGAAGCAACAAGTCTTTCATTTAATACTGTGTTTAAATTTACTTGCTATGTATGAAAGCTAATGTGAATAAACAGTTGATTATTGGCTTCTCACTTGATTGCTTCTAACTCAACGAAGAAGTAACTCCTATCTTTTGTGGATGGAACTGTAGAGCGAAGACTTTTGTGGCGTCTGCGGCCTCGGTGGGAAGCTTTTATGTTGCGATACTTGTCCAGCAGTCTACCATTTGGGCTGTCTCGATCCACCTCTGAAAATTGCCCCAATGGGCAAGTGGAGTTGTCACATATGCGTATGTGAACCATACCGTGGCATACATCATGGTGTTTTCCTTCTATTAGGACTAGAACATTCGTTTAGCCCAAGGTGTTTCTTGTGTATGGTGTTCTATGCTCCTCCTGGACAGCGCGTTGGTGCTAACATTTAACCCCTTTCTACTATCCAACAGGTTGATCCCTTGGAAAATTTGGAGAAGATAGTGGACTGTCAGATGAAACCACTCAAGGGACCTAACAGGAGTGGAGCTGAGGAAGGTGCTGGTCCTTCATCTCGTCTCGTGAAGCAATATCTGGTCAAGTGGCGTGGGAAATCGTATTTGCATTGTTCCTGGTAAGCAATTTTCTATTTGGGCTAATGTTTTTTCGAACATGCATTATATTTACAGTTGTTTTACTCTCAATGTCTACATTGATTCTATCTATTGAGCTTTGCATATTTTAAACTTGCAAAATTTGGCCTGGGTACCTTATGGTACATCCTATTTTCCTCATCCAGTCTGTCAGTTTGATAGTTCGGTTTCCACTACATATTTGTTACTTGAAGTTCATATACACTTTCTACTGTTTACCTTTATGCGACTTGATCCCGCCTGGCCTGCATACGATTTTCTACCTTCAAGCTTTGTGCACGTAGGTTGCAGCTGATTCACATCCCAGGTGCAGATTGTCTGATCGTCTTGGTAAACTGGAAGTCACAACGTAGTACTGGCTCAGCTCTCTATTTCAGTCATTGTTTCCGATCGGAGTTGGAACTCGATCTTGCTATCAAATATTGATGGAGCCGGCTCCTGCCTTTGTTTCAGGATTGTCTGTTTTGAATTTAGAAAAAGTGCGTAAAAGTTCTAATCTTATTATATTCAATTTCACTTTCCACGTCTTGGTACTCGTGAATTTTGATGGATATGAGCATGTTTCTTAGTGGTTGACATGTTGAGTTTTTTCCGCGTATGCAGCACGTTCTCATTTCAGTTGCTGGTTGTGCTCTTCTGTTCTCTCATGCCTGGATATTTTGTTGATGTTAATCTTGCATTGTTAGTTCCACAATCTGCTCGGTTGTAGCTGATATAGGTGTTTGCAGGCAGTTGTAATCTTGCCCTTTATTACACCCTTGGATCAGCCTGGTAGTAGCCTGAAGATGCATCCAGGCAATGCAAACTGTATTGGCACCTAGGGTGTTTACTGGCAGAAACGTATTGCCACCCAGGCACCCATTGATGACACTGCCAGGCTGGGATTGATGGCAAAGTGATGCTTTCTGTTCAGTAATTGTGATGGTCCTTGCCTTTGTTGCGTCTGCCAATAGGTTTTTATAGGTTTTCTTCAGATTCTACATCTTTTTTCTGATTCGTTCGATGGAATTTTGGGTTTACTTTCCTCTCGTGTTGAGACCTTGGTTTTATCATGGTCTATCTTGTGGTTACTCTAAAGTTGTGGATAAGACAAGGTTGTCAAGAGTTAAAAGTATTCATAGTTATTTTGTGCCTCGTAGGCGTCCTCGGCTTTAAATTTTTCCACACCGTTGCAAGGAAGAGAGACTGATGTGGAGAGTAATTTTGTTAGTATTCTTGACAAGTATTTAAACCACGTCTGAAGGTGGTTCTGTTTTCAGGGTGAAGCAGGAGGAGCTTGACAAAGCAATGAAAACGTTTTCTTGGATTCGGATGAAGCTGAATCATTTCCAGCGCCAACTTGAAGCAGCCAAGAAGTTGAGCACCTCGGACGAAGATCGCGTGTCCATCCGACCTGAATGGACAACTGTTGATCGTATACTGGATAGCAGGTAAGCGTTATGTTGTTGGAGATCAGTACTTTTGCCTTCCATCAATAGTATCATCTCGTGTTTGCTTGTAAGGTTTGTAGTAAGTAGTGGTGTTTGTAGTGAACTCCGTCATACCATTATAGAAACCAGTTATATCTTTTTCTTCAAGTAAATCTCTCAGGTCCTTGTTTGCTCAAACAACTCATTTAAAATCAGGCTGAACATTCTTGCTCACTCCAGATTATTTGCAGGGGTCAACATTTGCATTTATCTTCTTGCATCCGTAGATTTTATGTTCTTCCCATCTCTTTCGAATTCTGCTCTTGGCCGTGTGGGAACTGGAATTCTATCTCCTTTCACGAAAATTTGACGAAGAAAATCGGCAAGTTAACTTGAATTCCAGAATGGTTTTACTCAGTGGCCGCTATTAAATTGCCTCGTTTGGAGCCTTGGGAATATGTCTGTAACTCATCCTGGTCTCAGCCTGCAACAACATCATTGCCTTTTTAGCAATCTGACCTTGGATTGGATGAAGTTTGTGTTTGAGTCTAATCTTGTGTTATTAGTTTGTACCCAGGCATTTTGTTCAACCAAAAGTCTTTATGATTATAGCTTGCCCTTCCTTCTCATCTACCTGCTTTCGTTTAAAGTTATTGTTTCAAGGATTCCATTCTTTGATACATGTGGGCTTTGTAATTTATTCCACTCTTCCCTGACGACCTTTGTCAGGTATATGAACCATCTGAAAATCCCAATATGTAGATGGTTAGTCGGATGGTAGCAATATGTAGCCTTTTGTACTTGTAGGTAGGAAGATTTTTCTACTTCATGCTACACAACCCGAGTCTTCCTTTGAACGAGTCTGAAATCACGATGGTTCTCCAATGTGCCTTTCATTATCATTATTGATCAGCACCTGCAGTTTTTGGTTGACTAGGAACTTCTTGTTTCGCTCAAAAAACATGTCATATTTTATCACTTAGGTGAACGAGTTATTATATTTTCTATGTTTTGTCTTTACTTTCGGGCTACTCAATTTTGAGTAAGTGCTTCCATACAATTTGTATCCTTGTGTTCATTTGGCAATGAAATTATTTTGGGATTGATGACAGGCAAAATGGTGACGTGAAAGAGTACTTTGTGAAGTGGAAAGATCTCGGTTACGACGAGTTAACCTGGGAAGCTGAGGATGACATTGCTCCCTTCCAGGCTGAGATCCACAAGTATGGTGTTTTGATGCAAAAAGGTGCATCAAAAGCTTTAATGAAAAGGAAGATTGCTGCCGGGCTGGAAGTCAAAGAAACAAAGCGACGGAGGAAAGAATTCAAATCATACAAGAAGACACCGAAATTCCTGTCTGGAGGTATCTGCAATGTTGGAGTCATATCCGATCTAGATTTCTGGACAGTGATGGAAAGCTCGTATTTGCAATTTGTGTACAGACTGGACTTGTCATATGTGGACAAATATGAAGTAGAAAAATAAAGGACTTACCACTCGTGATATTTGTCAACCATTACATGTCTATGTGTTTAGTAAAACAATGCTCTCAAATATATCTTGTTTTAAAAGGTCAGGACGAGACTTTGTGAACGTTTTTTTTGTCGGATTTTCTCTAGTCTGGTGGTCAAGAGCAACTGTTACACAGATTTGCGAATTTGAATCCACGTTGATAGGCTTGAGTGACTTGAAGCAGCCAAGTCTAAGTTACTGGAATGTGACCCTTGGCGTTAAAATATTGTTGATGTTCACGGGAGGCCCTTCTTCCGTCGCACTGGGTGCTCTTTACTGCACACTTAGTTCATACTACTGTCAATTCGACGGCGGGTTTCTTACATGTTTTCTGTCTTCTCGGCTCTTTGTACTGATGCATCTGCTTTCTTTCATATATCTTACAGCTTCAGTTCATGCATGACATGTCCCACGTTTTTTGTCATTGTCTTCTTGTTACTTTCTATCTAATATAATTCGTTGGTGATGTAATAGCTAGATTTGCGTCGCTTTGGTCTCTTAAGTGCTGAGCCCTTGCGATTGATCATGTACTGTCTTATGTGTAAATCTATCTTAATAACCGCACCAAAGATGTCTTGGCCAATTAAGCTATTGATCTTTGCAACTGAAATGTGTAGAGTCGGAAGGGACATGCAAATAGGCTTGATTTCTTGAGTCGTAGTTGACCTCTTGTGATGTGGCTTTATTTTCCTTCCAGATTTGTAGATTCTGACTTATTGAGGAATTATTGTTTGTGATCATGATAATTACTCCTGGACCGATTCAGGAACTCTTCACCGTTATCAGTTGGAGGGTTTGAACTTTCTACGATTTGCATCACAGCAAGAAAAGCACTGCATTCTCGCGGATGAAATGGGCCTTGGTATGACCATTTCATGTTGTTTAATCGTCCGGTAGATTTTGGTTCTTGTTTAGTTTGTCAAAAGTTTCCTTTTGTTAAAACCAGGTACAGAAATCTAGCGACTGTGTACACGGGCAGTAGTTGACTGTGGGCATATGTTCCTTATGCAGGTAAAACTGTTCAAACCATTGCATTTCTGGCAGCTCTTGCTGAAGAGGGTTTACCATTTCCCCTACCGCATCTGATTGTTGCACCAACACCAACCCTACAGAACTGGGAACGCGAGTTTTCTACTTGGGCGCCTCATCTGAATGTTGTACGTACCTATGTGGATCTTAGCATGAATACCATTTCAAAGTTTCGGTCTGGTGCAATTTTTGGTGAGTAGAAGGATTACTTATTAGTATATGCTTGTTCTAGCCTTAAAACCATACAACCCGCTTCTTGGCTTATCGGTGGCCAGACAGTTAATGTTTAAGAGTGGAATGTGATTGAAAACCTCTATTGCTGTCTCATGTTGTTTGAGAATCTTCACTGTTTTGTGTTTGCAAGTAAGTGGTCATTATTTCATACGGCAGTCTAGAATCTGAGTTCTGCGACTGACGTTTCATCTTCTGATTCTTATATGTGCACTTATATTATAATGGTAATGGTAATGGTAATAAATCAAGCCCGAAAAAACCCTGAGGGTTTATATATATTTTATACATAGCATATATTACATATACTTCATTTCGAGGACTGCTGTTGCTTGCTTCCCTTTTCAGCAACTCACCTCCAGACTTATGTTGTGGATACTCAGAATGTCTTACTCCGAATCCAGCGACTTTCTCGCTTGGATGCTATGCTGTGTATCGGGTCTGTTCTTTATTGCTTCGCGTTGCCCTATGCATCGGGCCATGTGTAAGAGAATCCTATGGTTGTGCCTTTCTGGTTTCTGTTTCAGTCTCGTTGCTTTTGTAGACCTCGCAGCCCCAGTCTTTGTATCTCTCTGTACTCTTTGGTCTTCTTTTGCGTTCTTGTGGTTGATCATGTGTTATTTTTTTTAATTTTCAACACTTATTTATTTATTTATTTTAGCACTTCAGATTGTCAGACTTATTTTTCTATCGGAGCTGTTCGTATCAGTGTCTTGGTTCTTATGTTTTCCCGTTGTCTTTATAATATCTTTACTTCTCTGTACGAGTGCACTTTGGGGTTGCAGTAAACATCGGGTAGTAGTTTCACAGCAGATATTAAAGAATTTGGAAGCCGAATTCAGTCGTCGGGCCCAAGAGAGTGAATTGCGTTTTCATACCAGTGAATCTAACTTATTATATAGACTGGTGCGCTCTTTGAAATACTAATATAGTCTTAGCAACTGACAAAACGGAACCTAGCGGTGCTGTTCTATACACCTGGCGTCGCGTCAGTTGTGGGCCTATCGTTACGATGTGCTCACTTCAATATTAGGTACACCTTAACAGAATATATCCAAATGCTACAGGAAAGTGCCGGAATGAAACTTTTCCATTATGATGTTTGCTTTACAGGTTTTATATGGTGGTTCAAGCGAGGCTAGAGCATTTATTAGAGATTTCGAGTTCTACTACCCAAACAAGCTGAAGGGATTGAAAGACAAATCCAAGAAGAAGCAGATGGCGGATCTGAGGCAAAGCAAGCAGGAACGCATAAAGTTTGATGTCCTTTTGACATCCCATGAGATGGTTGGGCTGGACCATTCAATTTTGAAAGCAATCAAGTGGGAGTGTCTTGTAAGTCTAGCCTTTTCTCAAATATCCTTTTGCTGTTGACGTCAGCTCGTTACCGTTCAAATCATTGTGATGTTGTATCACATGTTAGAAAACTCTGCGAATTGGACACATTATTCGCGCTCAGAGTGTATGTTGCATGCCTTTCATAATGAGGAGGTGGTAAGTTTACTTGCAGATTGTGGACGAAGGACATCGCTTGAAAAACAAAGATCTCAAGCTGTTTCAAACCGTGGAAGCTTTTAATGCACGTCAGCGGGTGCTACTAACTGGGGCTCCGCTACCGGTATGCTTTAATTCGGGAATTGTTCAACTGTCAGTGGGAACTTTTTGTAAAGTAGAACTAGATCTCTCTGCATTCGTGTGGACCTTGATGTCCTGTAAAGAATATGTAATTCTTTTACACCTCCTTGTTCATTTTGCTGACGGCTTCGGTCTCTGCGATGGCAAATCGATGCTTGCCTTTCAGATATTGAGTTCAATACCTTTCATTTCTGCATGCCTTGGCTAGTCACATGCCCACTGTCTATCCTTCACTTATCTTATCTCTTAGCTTTTGGTTGGTTCTCAGGTGCTATACCTCTGGTTGATTTCCTGTTATCAACACTCCTGTGATTACTGGCCTTGAAGCAATATTAGTCTTCAGAGTGGGATGGTCGTTTTGCAAAGACCTTACAATGGTTTTTATTAGATTTCCTTCCTAGCCACCTTCGTGGGAGTAAAGGAAAAGGTCACTAGCTCTATGGTTTTTAGTTTTCTTTGTAATGACCTTATCTCACCAGTTAACATACTTACTGGCCTTGTCGATATGCAGAACAACATGGATGAACTTTTGGTTTTGATGCACTTCCTTGCTGCAAACAAGGTATGAAACTCGTGGGTCTGTGTTTGTCACATGTCTGAATTACTGTCGTCTTCGTCTTCTTTCGTATTTGAATCATACTGTGGTAATTCGGTCAGAACGTTAGTCAGTCTAATGTCTGCATGCTCCATGTCCATACTTGTTTCTTCCTCATTATGAAGTTCTTGTCGAATTAATTTAGCCTCTAAGGCTTAGTGTCTACTGACTAATAGCATAGCAAAATGATTGCAGCTCAGTCTGTTCACTTGACTTCCGAAATAGTTTTTTCGCCGTTTTAGTCTTTTTTGGGAAATCTCAGGTTTTAGCGGGAGTTCTTGTGCAATTAAGAAGTTTGCCCTGCACTATTGGATTTTGATTATCTGTCACACTGGCCAATATGTTCTACTAAGTCACGTTTGCTTTACAGTATGTTAGCCTTGAGGAGTTCCAAGAAGAGTTTCGGGATCTTCATCATGAAGAACAGATTATGAAACTCCAAAAGTTACTGACACCCCATATGATGCGAAGTAAGCGCTTGTGCACTTTGCTTTTCCGCACTATGTTTTCTATACCTTTGGAGTCTGCAGGCTAACTTCGTAGTTAACAAAAAGGGGACGAAGTTTTTAGGGGTTTTGAATGGAAGTGTATTATGTTTTCCTTCGATTTGTTGGTTCTTGAGTTGAAGACACTAAATTTTTTACGTTCAGATACTTTAAAGATTCACGAACCTTTGACCTATCTTGTACCGTCTCTGCTTCAGGAGTAAAGCGGGATGTTTTGAGAGAATTGCCGACAAAGAAGGAGCTTATTCTACGCGTAGAATTGACTCCCTTACAGAAGGACTACTATAAGAAGATATTGACTCGAAACTATCAAGTTCTGTCGCGTCCGGGTGGACCCCAGGTAGACATTCTAACACTATTTTTTAAAAATGTGCAGTACGGACTAATTGTAGTTTAGTTAAGACTGAACTCCGTGTCGCCCGTTCCGGTTCTATATCTCGGTTGCGTATCAATTTTCCTGGTACAATTATATGTAATGGAGTTTTGATGTGCATCGATTTGTGAGTGTTAAGCTTGAGTGTTTCCAAGTTTTTGGTCACTGGATTCCTTCAGACATGCGGAAGCTGGACCTGGTTCCCCTAGTATAGCTGTATAGCAGATTCACATGAAATGTATGTATTTCCCTTCTTGCAGATTGCGCTCAACAACGTTATGATGGAGCTTCGAAAGTTGTGTGCTCACCCATTTATGCTTGATGGAGCTGAACCTTTTTCTAGAAATGAAACAGAAGCAAACAGGTCAGAAAGTTCTTAGTCTTGTTACTCATCAGTCAAGCTTCATGGTTTGTCTTCGAGGGTTACGCAGCTTGTCCCTTCTACCGTATCTTGCCACGTGAAATATACATCTATTTCTTGTCATATAACTGTTTTTGTTCTATTTGTGATCTTCTTACTCACTTGTAGCTGGAGATGGTGTGAGATGTGTAAAGTTTGAGTATCGTGACAAAGGTGTGGACTTCTGTTAGGCAGGCTGATGTTGGAAGCATCTGGGAAGCTTATTCTTCTGGAGAGGATGATGGCAAAGTTGAGAGTACAAGGGCACCGGGTACTTATATACTCGCAGTTCACCCGTATGCTTGATATTCTTGAGGAGTGGCTCCTTTATAAGGTTGGTACAAAATTTCTTCAGTATGCCTCTGAATTTCGTCAGTAGTGACCGTAGTCAACTTTTGCTTGATTACTCATTTCTTCTCGGTCACTTGTCTGCATATTTTGCCCGTCGAACGATCGACAACCAAAGATGTATAACTTTCTTTTGCAGAAAGGTTATGTAGATGCTGTGATTGCATGAAGTTGAATTCTTTCAATGAGTGAAATCGCTTTTGTGAGACCAGCACTCATGTTCGTTACTCGTGTCGCCACATTAGGGTGGGTTTTTATTAAGTGTGGGTCACTTGATAGGTCACAGGATTTGTTAAGAAATCCCACACCAAAACGGCATGGAAGAAATTTTTTGTACGCTAACTAGATTTTTTTAACATAAGAAGGCTACATGGAAATAGGTTCTCGGAAGAATCCAAATTCGAATGGTTTGTACCCACTTCAATCAATGTGCAGTATACAATCCAAATTTTTGTGAGTTGAATTAATATTATTAGAGTGACCCACAATAAAATGGCAGCCAGTCAATGAGTGCAGTTTCATACGTGAATGATTGAAAACTGTAAGTGTTTGTAGATAGTGTACCGCACAAATACTCGAAAGAATGTAGAATTTACCCGTAGGTCGAATAGAACTTCCAGGAACGTGAGTCATCATGTTAGGCCCTTCGTCCTTTTGGTGAAGGAAATGTCTTTGGCACAAAATATCTGAACAAGTTGTGTTTCATGGCTCGGTCATATTCTATTCTGTTTATACGGAAATCTCTGAACTTGAGGGGATCATCCAACCGGTGCAATTTCATATTGGTTCATATGCAGAAATGGGGTTATGAGCGCATTGATGGAAAGATTAATGGTGCTGATCGTCAAATTCGAATCGATCGCTTCAATGCACCGAATCCGACAAAGTTTTGCTTCTTGCTTTCAACTCAAGCTGGAGTGGGGATCAACCTTGCGTCTGCTGATACTGTCATCATATATGACAGGTGTGTAGATCTGAGCTATGGACATTTGCTCTGAGCTTCGGTTTAGCATCGACGTTAGCGAGGAAATCACTCATTAGATGCGCTTTTGTGGCATGATTGCACATCAGAAACCAAACACGAACGTGGCTTTGACAGCATAGGAATGTTTCATATCTACCCATGATCGCTAACTTTATATACGTCTTTCACTTAAAACCTGTTCATGTTTTTGAAGATGTATTGAGAATTTACGATTCTGAGCTTTGATTTTTGGAGCTTTTTTTGTTTTGCTTGTATTGTGCTACATAGTAGTTTTCAAGGCTGATCAGTGGTTCTGTGTGCTGAGAAGTTTGTTGACATGAAATTGACTGCAGTGACTGGAACCCCCACGCGGATCTACAAGCTATGGCTAGAGCTCATGTGAGTACCCACTCTAGCAATTTCGATGTTTAAGTTCTGTTGAATATGTTCCATATGGTCGGAGCATTCAAACTGCATATCTAGTATTCAGACAGGAGCCTATTTTCCCCTTTTAACTATCTCTTTTACAAATATATGCTAATCTTGCAACTGTACGTGCCTTTGGTATCTTGCGTTTCATTTTGGCCCAGGTCATGATATTCAGACTGATTACGAAGGGTACCATTGAGGAGCGAATGATGCAAATGACGAAGAAACGAATGGTGCTGGAGCATCTCGTAATGGGACGTGTCAAGACCCAGGTCTTTCACCAGGTGGGATTGGTTGAAATGGTCTGTCCCTGCATCTGGTAAATCTCACAGGTGGATGTGGCAGTTAGCATTTTCAACTCAACTTCCATCTGGCAGTCACCGACTTTCCTTCTGATTATTCCCACCATTGTATCAACTTTTCTTTTTGCAGGAGGAATTGGATGACATGTTAAGGTTTGGAGTGAAAGAAATTTTTGCAGAAGGAAATGAGATGGCGAGAAGCCGTCCAATATACTACGATGACGCCGCAATTGAGAGGTATGGGTCATGTCAGGGATTGAAGCAAACGTATACTTCTATCTTTGACTATTCCGATCTCATTCATCTGTTTTCCTTTCTTCCAACCCCCCTGAATTGATTCAGATCAGTATTGCTAAGGCAAGTCAAGTCACGAGGGCACCGAACTTCTGTGAAGTACTTTAGACAGAGGAAACTTTTGTAATGATTTTTTGCATTTATTAATCAAGCATATATAAAGCACTCACGTGTATAGGAAACAACTCATACTTGAGGAACCCAACTTTTCCCTCGCTGCTTGTGTGTTACTATTGAAATTCGTTGCTCTTACTTCTCCACTTTGGATGCGGAGTCATTGATATTGCCGCAGATGACGTCTTGGGTGTTTCCATAAATTTTTTAATTTCTCCTTTGATCAAATTGTCCGTCCCTTGACAGCTGCACGGTGACTTGAGAACATTCCTGGTCCATACGTTACGGTTCATTGCCGTGCAGGCGATTGGGCTCTTTCTTAACGTTGTCCTTGACGGCGGGCCTGAATGGTTCTTTCGAAATTTAGTTTCTTCAACCTGTTCTGGGAGCTAGGTCACATCTCTTTGGTCGTTGTTCAGTAACAATTCCAACTACTCAAGGGTGAGCGGATCCAGGTGATCTTACTTCAGCAGTCAGAAAATGTCATCCTTTCCGGATCTCAGGGTTTTGAGACGTAGAGTGTTATCAGGGAGGGACAAGCAGGTTTTGCTGTGCGTCCCGAGTCTGTGTTGAATACATATCGTTCTTAGCCAACTAACCTGGAGAAGGAAACGGAAGGGACATCCTATTGCCTTCTCCTTGACCTCGAAATTGGGTCATATACTGTGTCCCGTGCTAGGTTTAAGCTTTCTGTATGTCTGGCAGGCATTGAATGTAATTTTGGAGAGTGATGGAATAGCTATATCATAACAGTAAGAACACAGTCTTTACATTGTTCAGGGAGTAGCACAGGCATCACTGTTTCACTGTCGTTCTTTACTTTGTAAACCTGCTTATTTTTATAGGAAATAGTGTTTTGTTATCCAAGTGGTGGACTGCATCATACGAGCGCTGATGATAGATGATGTCCTGTTTATGAGAAGAAAAGGGGGAAGTTCATTTTGAAGTGGATAAAGCTATAAATGTAGTTTCAAACGGTAGGCATGGATGGATTTGTGCATGGATGGATTTGTGCTTGGATATTATATCCTCACATTTGAAGGACAGGTTGAAGAGTCAGACACTCACTGTCCTGTCCTGGGTAAATGTAGCAACGTTGACCAAATGAAAGTGATCATACGCCGCGGCTTTGCTAAGTACGTGCATACACTCTGAATAGCCAAAGCTTGTTATTAAATTAGATCAAATACTAAATATCAAATCTGCTGTCCAATTTAGTCAATATGAAGAGGTGAACAAGTCTATTTCTTCGATAATAAGTGGATATATGTTTTAGTTGTATGTTTTGAGTGGGAGACCAGAACGTAGCTCATTCATTAGTAGCAAATCAATGATAAGAGAGACTGGACGGCTTCACTTTCATAAAGGTCTACATGTCCATGTCTTTCTTCATCTGACAGGTTCTTCACTGTTTGTTGCTAGCCTCGGCCTGTTTTTCCGGTGCTGTGGTTTTCAGGCTATGGCAAGCAGTCACCAATTTCTGTACATTAGTGTTTTGACGTTTACGTTCTGGTGTGATGAGATCACTGTGAACCTTTTTTTTGGGTATACATTTGTATCAATACCGTAGGTTTGACAGACATTCAATATACCAGATAAGTGTACTCGAGTACACTTCTATCTGTCGTATGACCACCTAGAGACGTGAGCGTAAGAGCTATCGTGGTTTGAATCGTCTGGAGTCGCTCTATCTTTATACATGTGCACAAATTGAAGCATTGCGAATTTTCAGGTTGTTGGACAGGTCACAGCTTGATGGAATGGAGGACCGATTGGATGAAGAGGAAGCCAATGATCTAGCTAGAGCTTACAAGGTTAGTCCACAGCTTGCGCATAGGTTATCACCAAAGTTGTAAAAGTCTGTAAGCGCTGCCACAGTGGTTTAGGCCGTATCTGACTCTAGAAGTGTAAACCACTGGGATACCTTGATCGTGAATGCAAGTCAGTTATTGAGGCTCCCATGCAGACGCTCAGGGAGGGACTATGTTGTCAGCACAGCAAACTCATGAGTTTCTATCCACATTTTTCAGGCGCCGCATCATGATTACATACATGATGAAGATGGAGAGGATGTCAAAAGACAGTACGGAAATGATCGTCAAGCAGCCCGTTCAGATGCTTCCGAGCGTTCATATTTTTGGCATAGTCTACTGAAGGATAAAGTCGAAAGGCAACAGTTAGAGGATTCGGAGGATCACAAAGGCAAGAGGAGCAGGAAACAGGTGCATTTTCTGATTTACACTCGTGGAGTAACTGTGCATGCAAGTAATTTAGAGACTTGTACTTAGACTTGTTGTTCCAATTGGATACTAACCCGAGTCTTTGCAGCTGCAGTACTCGGGATTGCATCTGGAGGAGGATGATCTAGCTGGAATGGCAGATGTCAGTTCTGATGAGGAAGATTATGATTATCCGCCACACAATGATCACGAATCATCTGGTTATATGAGAGATATGCAGGATGGCAGAAAGTTCCAACCTCCGAAGAAGAAGGCGCGAGGTTTGTTTACTGTGTACTCTACAGATTTAGATCAAATGTCTTTGTCAGATTTGTCTTTGTCAGACATTCTTCTCTGTAGTGGAACGTGCATTTGTCTCAAGTCTTCAAGTCAGTGTTATATGCAGTAGTCTTTGACTGTCGATTCACGTTGTTTAGAGGATCCACCGGAGGAGCGCTCGGAGCCACACCCACTCATGGAAGGGGACGGCAGGTCGCTGAAAGTACTAGGATTTACTCAAAAACAGCGGGCTATATTTGTACAAGTTTTAATGAGGTCTGTAAATTTTCTGTAAACTGTTTGGTCCTCTCTGTAAGATTGGATGTTTTCCCTAAGTTTTTAGCTCAAGAATACGAAAACTAAATTAACATGACATTGGCTAGAATAATAGAAAGTTTGTTTGTCAGTATAAACTCTTAACTCGGAATCAAGTTGTAGCTTTCTTCTTGGTAAAGTTTGTTATAATAGAAGGACCTTTTGAATTTGGTTCAACAACAATAAATGCCTCGAGTTTAGTGATCAGTGTGAACTGAACTTCATGCATTACGTTTGTCTTGCTCAAGTGTAACACCTAGAATGAGGTCCGTCGAGTCACATCCTACGTACATCGAATTAGCGTTGCTCATACTGGACTTTCAAAATGAATTTATTGGTTAGTGCTGTTAGTGAACTGTTTAGCTGGATAATCTTGAGTGGATCTGCGACTGAAGTTCTTTTGTCCTGTATTTGATTCTTCCCTTGAGTTCTGGTACGTTGTGTTTTGGTTTGCTTCTATCTTGAAAACTATTGAGAATTTTGGGTTTACTTGATTGAATTTTTTGAAAAAGTCATGATTTTGAAACTCGGTGGGACCTAATCTAAGTATAGCATATTTTAAATACTTCAATCGGCGGTCTTGTTGACAATAAGTATTGCGGTAACAATGGTTGCCACCTGGGTTTAGCAGGAAGGGGACAAGTTTACAGAGGCCGAATTGTGGGTACTTAAGTAGATAACGTCATTAGACTTCCTCCTGCAGGTACGGTCTTGGAGATTTTACTTGGAGCGAATTTATACCCCGTTTGAAACAAAAGTCTCGAGAGGAGATCAAGGAGTAAGCCACTCTCGATGGGTTTTACGATAGGAACCACTGATCTCATTTACGTTTTTCTTTTTCCTGCCGTAGATTACATCAGAGTAGATTTTTTCTGCAGGTGTACTCTTTCGATATGTTCCACTGTCGGGGTTCACGACTTCGTTGTATCCGTTCATTTCTCGATGCAAGGCATTATTCTGTTTTGCCTTGGATTACGTTTCTGATGATGTTTTTGTTACATCTTGCAGTTATGGAACTCTTTTCCTCAGTCACATTGCGGAGGACATCTCTGACTCATCAACCTTCAGTGGTAAGCTTTTCATCGGAGCAGGTACACTGATAGTCTGATTCCCCGTTTATCGTGTCTTCAAGCTAATGTGAAGAGGTGATAATATCAGCATTTGCTTACAGATGGAGTGCCGAAGGAAGGGTTACGAATACAAGATGTTTTGGTGCGTTTGGCAGTTCTTCACTTGATTGGGGACAAGGTGAGCCATCTCGACCTCATTGACCCACGAAGAAGATCCTGTATCAACTCGTGATAAACCTTTGTGGACCACATTAGTATGATGCTATGTTCTTCGCTCACTTCAGCTACTCGAGGAAATGGAATTCTTCGAATCGTCTAGGTCCGGCCCTCCCCAGTTGTGTTGATATTGTTTACAAATCTGAGAAGTACCTTGTTCACCTGCAGGTGAGGCTGTTGCACGAAAATCCTCAAGCTCCTCTTCTGTCAATAGGTGCTCAGAACCATCGCTACTACTCTTTGAGAAATACTAAAGTATGGAAAGAAGAGCATGATCGCAAGCTCTTACAAGCCATATTGAAGTAAGTGCGTCAAAGAGGACATGCGTGGACAGACTATTGGTGTCTACGCCCTCCTTGCTGTATGTCTGTTCTGCGTTCTCTTGACGATATGGCTTCTATTGAAGACTGATGTAATTTCAGTAATGTTCGTTCTGCATGATCAGGTTCCCAAGAATCTCGTTGACCTCTAGATTTGTGTTTGCTTGTAGGCTCGGATATGGCCGTTGGCAAGCTATTGTGGATGATCCTGATTTAGGACTGCAGCCTGTCATTCGGAATGAAATTCTTCTGAGAGAAAACACTGGCGATGGAAGGCCAGCTGATGGCGAAGGCGGGATGGGTAGTTCAACTCAAAATGCAGAAAGCCAGTTGGAAGGGGGTTCAGAGGATAAAGGCAGTGATGATGAGATACCCATGGACAGTTTATTACCCGGTGCAAATAAAGAAACCTCGGAGGCCTACATGCAGAAGAAGATGGTTGATTTTGTAAAGCGAAGGGTCCTCGTTTTGGAGAAAGTTTTGAATGCGGAATATCTGAAGGAGACATCAGTAAGTACTATATTAACTCATCCCATGAATTTTCAAATGATCATGGTCCGTCCTTTTTGAAATCAGCAACGTACAGTATAATTAAACCTCATCTGAATGTTCACCTGAGGTACCAATGCAATGGTGAAATCAGACGTTTTCGGTCACATGAAAAGATACATTAACAAGTTCTGATTACAATCAAGGAGTTTTGCTTTGTGATTCATGATTTGCTATTCATCATTCTTCGTATGGCTTAGCATCATTAAAGGTTCTGGATAGACAAGGGTTTTTTTTCTTTTTTCTGAAGAGAAAGTCTTGAATGTTGAGTGTCTGAATGAGACCTTAGTACGCTACTCCCATGCTGGAAACGGCCCCAAATGCCACAGTGTGCAAGTTTGCGAATTGGTTCCGCTTCTTGCTCTGTTTGTTAAAGAGAGCCATGGTACCATTTCCGTTCTTGAATGGTAGGCGCGTCCCGAGATACTCTGGTGATGATTTATGAAGATTTCGGGTTCGATGTCCTGCTTGTCCAAGAAAAGTCCTGATTTGTGGTTGGATTCTCCTCTAAGACTTGTTTTTATGACTACTGTGCACTGAATCGCTGTGGTCACTCGATATGACTATACATGTCCTATCTGAGAACATCAGTTATTTGTTGTGGTCACTGCAATCTGGTGATTATAGTACTATGTAAACGGTTAACCAAAAACAATGTGGAAAGACGTAGATTTTCAGCATTGTCCCAGCTCACCATCTCGTTTTTTCGTCTCAAACTATATCTGCTCCAGATGGTTATCTTGCGGATGCAGTATCTGTCTACTCCATAGGTTTTGCGACCAATGGAAATAGAAAATTGATATAACCTAGAAACATTACGTCTGTCCATCATCAGTATCAGGCGCGATGAATCTGAAAGTCTCAGACAATTTTCATGAAAATATTCAGTTTTGTGACTTGGATCATAAATCCCCATCCCTTGTGATCAGGGATCAATTCTCTTTTCACTCAAATTCACTGTCAACAATACCTTCGGATTTCACAAGGTGCTGTGGCCGTTAATCAAGTATAATATCTTCCTATTGTTTTACCGTTCCTGATAAATTGGTGATCAAAAGCATTACCACGTCGCGAAGCTCACCAGTGTCTGTTAACCTTGTTTCGGTTTTTGAACATCTCGCCCATCTTTATTTACTCACTCAGTGGAAGTCTCTACAATTTCTTGACAAAGTTCGTGCCCATCGCTTGTTAACTGGTTGTTTCGTACTATACCCCCGCTTGTTCTGGGTCCACTCTTGTGCACATTCTTCTGCATGCATTTATGTATATGCTCACATACATGTACTTCTCCCGAGGTTACGGGGTCATTTTGCTGAGTTCCTTCAACTTGGTTTAGGGTTTAGGGTTTTTGTTCACCTGTGTCGATTTGGTGTACGGTTTTTTTTGCACGAAGTTTTTATTACTCGTATGAGAATATTTGCATGTTCTTTTAGTTTCATTGTTCATATCTGCAAAGTTCTGAACCGCATGTTGATGCTTTCCATCTGTTCTTGTAAAGTGCTGATGCATAGTTTCATCTACTACTACCTCCTGATCTGAATCCTCGATTCAGTTTATGTCGGCTATTCTCTTGTTTATATCCACTGAGGATTCATTAACAGCCTCTGTTCCTGCCTGGAGTCTTTGGGTTCGCACCATCCTCGTATGTCAAAGCTTTGCATTTGCTCATTGCTTTGGATACAGCGGAAGTCTTGCAGATGAGGCTTTTATGCAAGCAGTTCAATGTGTTGTTTAAATGGGCCAACATTTTTAAGCAGACCAATGTCTCAGTGAACTTTACTCCAAGAACTTACCATGTGGTCTGCTATATTTTTCTCTGATATTTGTCTTTGATGTAACGACTGTGATGGGTTTACGTCGATATAATTTCCAAAGCGTCTCGCTATAAACTTGTTTATTATTAGGCCATTCACTGCACATGCCTTTTTGATGGAGTCGTGTGTAGTGTGAAGTATGCCAGTAGTTACGTGAAGTGCTGATGCAGAGGTCTAGTACGAACTTGTGTAGTCAGTAAGCAGCTCATGTCACCTTCACTTGCGCAGAAAGTAGTTTTGTCATGTGCTAATTAGCCGTAATCCTGGCTGATGGAGAGTTGACTGTTGGATTCTTGCACGTGCAGGATCCTATGGTGCCCGAAGAATCTGCCCCGGTTGTTGTCGAAGCGCGGTCAAAAGTACCAAGTGCAGCTCCCATGGATGGCCAAGATAGCCGAGGCCAAAGCAGCAAGAACAGACAATCTTTTCAGTATCCAATGCCTTTGGGTAAATGCTGAAATCCCTCATCTCACTTGATTCGTTTGTGAATTGTCTCGTTGACCATCTGCGGTACAGATACAGTTTTGCTGTTTGTTATTCACCATCTTCTCATCCTAGTTCCCATATAATATGAAATCGCTTTTCTGCATGAAATGGCCAGTGTGTTACGTTCCATACTGGAACGATCACTACTCTTTTATAATATTGGGCTTAATTGCAGTTTTGAAAACTCAGCGGCCCAAATATTTAAGACAGTAAATTGGAAAGTTTCAAAACTCCAGTGGTGAGCGCCTTGACTTATAAATGGAGGCTTATCATTAGATTTTTCCTGCAGACTCACCTTTTTTAATGGCTCAGTTCCAAGCAGGAGTGCTGCTGGGCATAACTTGGTTAGTGCCTATCAGTTTACTACCCGAAGACCCACGTAATGTGATAGTGTCGTAAGCATCCTATCTCTCAGAAACATTTTGTAAAGTCTTGGAAGACCACTTTGTCACAGATAGATGGACTTCCTTAGCTCAATTGTCAAGCGAGGCCTTCACACCTTCTCAGAGACCTCTTCACTTTTAAGCTGGAGTAAGGCCTATGTGACAAGCTAACCTTAAAGGTTTACAATGAATTTGAAGCCATCAGGGATCGATTATGATGCTTTTATCTGGGCTGCATGTCTCTCCGAATGACCCAGGATATCGAGAAGAAAGATGAGTGTGAACTAACCGAGTAAAACTCTACGCTTCTTTTCTTGCAGAACCCGATGAAATTTCAGCGGCAGCTGTTGATGATGATCCTAACCGCTTGAAGGTTGCTCATATTTATGGCCAGGTCAGTGAACTACTTTATTTCCACTGTTGAATATTTGAGGGTAGAGCTTGTGGTTTGACGGAGTGTTATTATCCAAGAGCTGTGACCAAAACCCTAAAGTAGTCGATGTTCCATCGTATATCGTCGATGTTCCATCAGACCTGCTAGAGTAATCCAGCTTGAATAATGGACCGATCTGTTTTTTAGACTAGAGATTTCTGTGGCTATGACCAGTTTTTGTTCTTTCCGAAAAGAAGTATCATTGCTAATGTGGGATGTCGCTTACGACATTGTCGTTCTGGGCCATCTGTGTATATATGATCTTTCTGGCGTTTAGATGTGCGAGTTGATGCTGGAGAATCAAGGGGACGCCGATCAAGCCTACGTGGGCAACAAGTCTGCAGGTCTCCGATTGAGAAAAAGTCTTCGGCAGTTGGACACCCTCTGTTTAGAGATGAGAAAGGCCCTCTTTGGACAACCTCTTCAGTCGAGAAAATCCAGGACAAAGCCCGAGGACGCAGAGGGTCATGAACTGGATGCACAATCTGATGAGAATGATGATGCCGGCGTTGATTCTGAAAACGACAATGATGCGAAGATGGATGAGAAAGTGAAGGAGCCTTTATCAAGTAGTGACACTGGACACAGCAGTGCCGAAGAGCCTTCTCCGGAGGAGCAGCAAGGAGTGGGTAGAGGGGGCGATTATTCATCAGAAAACGAAGAGAAACCAACCAAACGGTTTGAAGCTGTAAGTAAACCAACTGTTGCTGTATCTGTAAAGATTGAACAAAGTTCAGTAGCTTTAGATGGATCAAGTGGGAAGCGAATCAAAGGAGGAAAATTGTACTTGACAGCACCCAAACAGTATAATGAAAGCCCGTGAACAGATGACAGTTTGTTCCTCATTCTTTACGTAATAAGCGGGTATCAGTGTGCCTGTGTGCCTTACTCTCAATTGACCACATCTTGGGTTGCAAAGCTTTAAACGTCATTCTTTGTTGGTCTTTTCTGCGCAAAAGCACTCATGGTACTAAACGTAGGCGTTTGCCTAAGAGTGCTGCAGTTCTCCTCTTGAATTCTGGAATCTAGAGTTCTAGCAGCAGGACTGCTGTCGATGAAAGCGTCAGATGAACTTAGTAAGATGTGCTGTAAAATTATCTTATCACTGAGCTTTTGTTAGTCTTGCCCTTGAAAGAGTAGCAAGTAATTTTTTTTTTGAAACTCAACGGAATTGTGTGCAAGTACTACTATCGAAGAAACTCACAGAAAATATCAATACTAAGGATTCAGGAACAACTCTAGTTCATTTGTCAAGCCTGTGATTAATTCATTGTGTTCTTTTAATTTGTTCACTCAACTTGGTCAAATTTCATTCACTTGGTCAAACTTCATTCATACTTCTAGGTAGTCTGGAGTTTTATATGACTACGCCCATTATCAAGAGGCTAGCATGGGTATGCTCTTCTACGTCCTGTTTGACATTCTAGGGCATCGAACGTGTTCAACAGGCATGTGCTTGCGGTTGATAGTCTTTTGGCGTATTTATAACCCAGACGAGTATCTACAAGTATTGATGTTATTTTTTGTTACTTGCTGTGGTGGTGAGAGCGTGAGAGCAATCTTGGTTCGAATATTGCACATCAGGATTTGAAGCTATTTGGACAAAGCAGGGAATGATTTCTCTATAATTTGTACTGATGTCATTAAGTCCACAATGTATGGGAGGCAGGTCGCCGAAGGGTTCGACTCTTTTGTAATTAGTGATCCTGCAATTCACTCGCTTATCCCTGGTCGTTTTATCGTTGTGGTCCTTTACATGCATCGTATGAATATTCGTCTTGTGATTGTTCTACCGTTCCTGCGTGACGCAAAACTGCATACACGCCGTATACGTATTCCTTCTTTAGAGTTTTGGGCTCTATATCAGCGATGCATATTATGAAGATTTCGGAGGTGGTGGTGGTAGTTTGGACCATAGGTGTAGTGGTTCTCAAGAGTCCGCTTGACTCTTGGGAATGTGACTGTATCCGTTCACCCTAGGAGGGTTTCCAGGAAGAATTGGTAGGGCCGGAGAATTGCAATGTCAACTTGCAGTTTACTGCAGACTTGCCTGACAGTACAGAGAAGCATTTCTGTAGGAGAACTGAAATATTCGTTGTCTTTTCAACTTTGCTTTCGTGTGCAGACAACTTTCGCTCAGAATTACGCTCCGAGTTTACAACACAGATAATCCTTTCACGGATTTAGAGGAAGTGAAACCACTAGTAAAAGTTCCATATCGAGTTTCTTGAAGATACTGTTAATCAACGGAGATGGACAACTTCATTTCACATTAGGTCATGCATATCCGAAGAGGGTCTTCACTGAGATAATTCAAATTGTACTTACTCTCTATGACAGATAAAATCCATTTTGAATCAGACTAACCTCAGCTTGTAGATTCAGTGACATTCTAAGTCAGTGGTACTGAGATTGCATGACAGTGCGGTAACAGTCGAGCTTGTGTAAAATACTTTCCTGAAGTAGTGAAAACACTTGACTAAGCAGAACTGTAGAAATGCCAAGTAGAACTGAATTGTTCCTTTAGTTCTATTACAGCTTATGTTTGGAAATTCAATTTTACTCTTCACCCAACAGCGAAGACAAGAGTATCTTCACTTTTCTTTTGGGATTGTTCTAATAAAACATACATTGTCCCTATCGCATTACTTTATTTCGATATGAAACAAATGAAAATTGATGTTACTGTGGCGTTGCATCTCCGTGGTCAATCACTAATTTGTGTCCAATTGCAATCACGTTTGCTTGAGTTATCGGCTGTTATTGTTATGCTCTTAAAATATTAGATGTGGGCAAGCTGACTGAATTTACTGTAAAGTAACGAGACTGACTTCACTTCATACCGGGTTACAGAGAAACTAATTGAAAAACTAATTTTCAAAAATATTTTTAAAACTGTTTGCCGAAAGGATAGATATGGAGGTAATAAATTCATGTTCAGATTAAATACTAATGAGGGGATTGACGAGGTGAAACAAGAACTTTAATGTATTATTTATGATCAAGCTCTGCGAGCTTTGTAGTATTATTTATGATCAAGCTCTGCGAGCTTTGTATCGGATGTCCCTTCGGGGACATCCGATAAAATTGGAACGATACAGAGAAGATTAGCATGGCCCCTGCGCAAGGATGACACGCACAAATCGAGAAAAAAATAGTATACGTTCAAGTTTTTGTGAGGAGAATCGAACTCATTATAAACTAAGAAGACTGTCTTCAATTCATACCGGGTTACAGATATTGTCCTAAATCGAAAAGCTAGTTTCAGAAAACTTGCCCATGGTGTTTGTTGAAACGAAGGAGATGAGGTAACAAATTACTGTTCAGACCAATTTCTAACGAGAGTATGAACGAGAATTTAAATGTATTATTTGTGATCAAGCTTCGCGATAATATATATGTTCCAGTTTGTTGTGGGGAGAGTCGAACTCATTATCCAAGTACGGCGAAGGACTTTTTTGAGTGAAGTATGAATGATACGTGACAGTGATAACCATTTCAGAATAACGATCTTGAGTATTGCAAAGAGAATATATGATACTGTATGCGTGACATAGAGATGAAAATAGTGAAAATAGTGATCAAGCTTCGCGATAATATATATGTTCCAGTTTGTTGTGGGGAGAGTCGAACTCATTATCCAAGTACGGCGAAGGACTTTTTTGAGTGAAGTATGAATGATACGTGACAGTGATAACCATTTCAGAATAACGATCTTGAGTATTGCAAAGAGAATATATGATACTGTATGCGTGACACAGAGATGAAAAAGATTCAAGATCAATCGTCTGAAACGTCAAAAGTAGAAAGCAAATTCGGTAGTAAGGGAAAAGGGAAACGACTTAATTGAGAGGAGAGTTAATGTAATTTTGGTAACTAGAATATCTCTTTCATGAAAGATATATTTATGGCGTTTGAATATTGAACCTTATATTTAAGTAATTTAGGTTGCTCTCTTACGTAAACTCATTATATATCTTGAACCGTTATTTAATGATCCAGTAAAGTTTTAAAGATATGCAAGAAAGGTACTTATTAAAACATTTAAGATTTATTTAATTTGAAGACTATCCCCTGCCCAGTTACGTTCATTGATAAATATGTACATGCCCGAAAGGATGCTCCCAAACTCTTGCACCTTGTAACAGAGGGTGCCCGTCCAACATTATGTCCCGTCACCAAAGATAGGATTGATCCATGAGAACTCGCGAGACATGATGACTTCTTGCACAACACAAATGTAACGCCAAACCGCAATATCAACATGTCATGAGAGCCCAGACCAATTTTATATGCCAGTCCTAGTTCCGTTCGTTCGCGACAGACAATAGAAGCAACAATTGGACAAAATTTCCACTGGCGGAAAGGAATAACGCCGACCACATATTAAAACGCGAATTGAGAAGCAATTTTTTCGCGTCTGGTCAATAGTAGGCATCCAATTTCAAATAGGAATTGAACACGTAGAGGAATGCGACATAATTAGCGGACCTGATTTCTTTTGGAATATTGAGTGATCGAATACAAGAATTAGATTTCATATTTTCAATTAAAATTAACATAAATGAGAGAGGGCAGACTTGCAGACGTTTGCATTCTAAAAGCTGACAGAGGATAATCTCCGGAGCTATCTGCATCACCGAAAATTGACAAACGTAAACATACAACCTTCTAAGAAATCGAGAAAAGCTGCTTAGGGTTTAGAAGTTCTGGTACACTCCCCTACGAATTTCGGGGCAGCCTTCAATAACTCGCAAGAACGAAATTCAGTGGGTTGAACTCAGCAAATCACAAAAAACAAGTCGCACAATTATCGCTGCATAAAAATTCGCAATTATTCACGCACAGGAAAAAATTTCGGTAAAAGCACACCACACAATAGGAAGGAGGACAGATGGAATCTACATCCATCAATTATCCGAGGCAGTGCATGGAACTATGCCAATGTTATGAGAAACATCCATGCACTGTTAACATCCATTCACAAATGGTTAGACTGATGACAGATATCACTTGTATGCATACATTCCAGTCTCGAGGTCAGTTCCAGGAAGGAAGTAGTCTCCGCACGACAATACCAAAATGCAAGAGACTAATATAGAGAGTAGAAACAAAGTACATTTTCTGGTGACCAGGAAGTTAGAAGTTTGGGTTTTTCTAAACTTACATTCTGGGATCACTTCTCATCCCGTAAAACATCCACCTCCACCAAACACTAGTACCGAGACAAGGTCTCCAGCGAGGGCTTGATATTGGGTTCTTCCTCCTCTCATCCACTTCAGCACACGGGAGAAGGGCAAGTTGGAAATCCAATTCAACATCAAAACCACTCATTTACAACACCTTAGTGACTACACAATCCGCGGGGCATTGCCCTTCATTCACCTGGTTTATGCCAGCTCTTGCTAAGCTCTACTTGGTACTACTCTGCTCCGCTCTAAAACTCCTACGTAGTATGAACTAGTCTCTGCGTTTACCCTTGCCCTTGCTCGTTCTGCGATTTGCACTAGACCTGACGCTCAACTTCGATCGTCGTTGCTTGAACATATGGAGGAAAAGAATTACAAACAGAAAAGGGTAAGCAATGAGCAGTCCGAGTACGAACTTGTCATAGGTGAAAGGCAGAAGCTGGCCGAAGATACCAGAATAGAGCTGCCTGTCAGCGATGGGTTTCAAGGAGATGTACATGGCGTTCATCTCACCATATATTCCTGCAGGATATAGGAGAATAAAAGCTGTGTACCTCAGCCACAGCAGCCACCTTGGGCATGCTCCGAGACTGCTAAGTGCATATTGTGGGTATCTAATTACCTCTGAAATGGACCACGCTGTGAAGACGATGAAGACGGAGGGCAACACTTGAGCTTCAGGAAGTTTAGCAATAACCGCCAGCAAAACATGGGTCCTTCCTCCCCACTGCATAAGACTCGTCAAGGCCCCACTTCGGACCAACCCGAAAGAAGCATGGAGAAACTCCAAGAAGGCAGCCAGCTGCAGAGCCCGCACAAGATTGCCTGCTGCTACGAATGCGTGATTGAAGTCTCCTGTGTCCACATAGCTCTGCCCTAACTTTGAGAGCACCACCAACCACCCTACAGCTTGAGCTGCATTGTACGCTACCAGATACGCTTTCACGATTGAATTCACCATATCTCAACTAGCTCGACCTGCTGCTGCTGTCGTCTTTTCTCTCTCTCTCTCACACACACACACACGTTGTTTAAACTTCAGATGGCTGAAGAATGAGAATCTATTGCTCTGGCTATGGCAGAAGGCAACCCCTCCGACGAAGGCTGCAATAGAAATCCATGGGGTCAGAATCCATAATTACGATTGTTTCATAATTCCAAACACACTGGTAAACATGAACCTCCCACCATCATCGGTGCATCCCAATCTGGTCAATTGACACATCTGTACATACCAGCTACGATCACAGAGGTAGCTCTGTTTATTCCTCTGTTTATTCTCTCAAGTCATGGCTACTAGCGAATAAAAACGGCACTCTGACGAGGCCCTAGGATGGAAGAAGAAGAAACGAAGAATCTCGTAAGATTCAAACTTGAGCAGGGACCAGAACGTGGAAGTTCGATACCAGAGCCTTTGCAGTGAACTCTCTCGCCGTAGGCCGACTGGGTGGCTCTCCTCATCTGCGCAAGCGTCCAAGAATTGCCACAGTAGAGAGTAAAGTCAACTGCGGTTAATTCCCCAACCTGGTAATCGATTTGGCATAGGTCAAACCTGGTTTCTCCTCCCAGTCCTCCTCACTGAGGAGGACTGGGAGGAGAAACCAGGTTTGACTCTCTTCATCTTACCTTGGTGAGGAGTCCTCACCCTTACTTCCTTGGGTACAGACGAAAAGTGCACCTACATCAACATTGTTCATCAGATTACCAGATAAGAAGAGGAGCTCGACCGAGGATAGGTCACGAGAGCGTCGACACCGTCTGTCATCACAGTTCGTGGGGCCGTCCATGCCAGATTTAGGAGTGTCAAGTAGCTCCTAGTTCGATCGTGAGCGTGGGTTCTGCAGAGCAATCGGCACTGCTGCTTCAGCCCTCTCCCATTTGCAGTGCAGTGCTGCAGACGGCTCTTGGGTGCTTTCCACACAGCAGCAGGCCACACTTGAAACATCAGTTTCTCTGTCAGGAGTGATATGCTGCGCGTTTGGTGGGTAGGCGAAGTTCGTATCACGACATTGTGTCTGTGATTAGACTTAGGATCGAGGGTAAGTGGTCTTTCCCAATCTAAATGCAGGCCCAGCGAGTACTCTTCAGATTGTCCAAAGGAGTACTGTAATACAATGCAGTTAACAAAAGGATGGAAAGACCCATCGAGTCTCACCAGGATAAACAGAAGTGGAGTATGGGACAGCCCCACTACCGTCACGATGGAAAGCATGTACTTCTACATCTTATACATAGGATGTATCCACAAGTAGACAATTTGCATCGAAAACATCATTTGACATGAATTTTATTCTGTACATATATTCTGTGGATTTCATATGCTCTAAACTCTATAGAAAACCAAATTTTCTAGATTATATATTGTAAACTTGAAGTCGGTAACCATGTCTCCATATCACCCCAAAGCTAGATTATAACGAGTTTAACTCTTTACAAACCTCTATACTTCAAGAACTTGATGAAGCTTAATCCTAAGGATGTAGCAACTTGAACTACAATGTTCGCAACAATAACTTGTCACTCACTAATTAGCGTCGGATGTTCACGGAGTCTAGTTCAATGCACACCAACAACCGTTTCATGTATAAATCATCAAAAGTCTCCCACATTAGCAAACACCACATACTTAATCACATTAAGCATTGTTATTCCCTGCCCTTTGAAATTCCAACGACTCATATGAAATATGCTACATTTTTATTAATATTACACATAGTAATACATTAGAATATATAGATAGTCAATTATTTCACATGTAAAGTGGGATGTGAGAGGGTAGTGATTATGCAGTTACAAGAGATACATGGCGTGACTGGTGTATTTAATATTGATATTTGCTAGTTATAGCTTCACATATTCTTATGTGTGACCATGTGCTAAATGTACTTGCTACAAAGATATAAGGAACAATGAGTACTGAGTGATGTAACCATGCGTAATGTATCACGCAGCACGCTAAACTCGAGACGGCGTCATTAGATGCATACTCTTGTGAAAACAATGTAGATATATCATGAATGGATCACTTTCTAGACGGCGTCATTAGATGAGTAATCTTGTAAAAACGACGTAGACAAAATATGAGTGGATCAGTTGAAATGCATAGATACATCACATAAAGACAAAAAATACACTAATTTTTTTCTTGATTGTTCCGAAATAACAAATGAAATCAAAGGATGTTTAGCATCTTAATCAAGATTTGAGTTTTACTCTTAGTTTCAAGATTTTAAGTCCAGGTATATTTCATCAACTCTCTTGTGTAATACATGATGATTTTAGAGATATTACTTTCTCACCATTCATATTTGGTTGGTGATTGATCATATGAATAAGCTAGTGTGATTCCTAATTTTTTCAATTTCAATTCAATTTAATACAATGTCAATGAGTTTTGAAAATATATCTTGATTTTATCATGAAAATTAAAAAATGAAAAATTTAAGAAAAAACAAACCATATCGTAGAAGGAAACAATATATGTCACACAAATCAAGAGTTGGATTACGTCATATACTAATGTAAGACTAAAAACTCGTAATTTTATAAGATTTAACATAGGATATTCATGTATTGCAAAAATCAAGAAGAGCAAAAATCACACAGATCCGACATGACTAGTTCGTGGTTCGCCCCAGGCCACGTCCACGTAACATAACGGTCCATTGTAAAACTGAAACAATGTTCAGGAGCTAGCTACTACTGGCATTCCTTTGTATACCAAAATATTAAAATCCCAGTTTTCTAGGTAACAAAAATGACGTGAGTTATCACTAAAAATTAAACATTTTCAATTTAAAAATAAAACAAAAGGATTAATATTTTTTTACTCTTGTATTCTAGATAAATTAAAAAATTCAATACGTCTTAATAAATTGCATATTTTGCAATCTTTAATATTGAAAAAACAAACCCTGCAAAAAGTATGCATGTGCATATAAAGTTATCGTGCCGCCCGATTTCATGATCATATTTTAGATTGCTTTAAAAATAATTCACAATAATACAACCACATGAATAAATATTCATGTGATCGTATGATATACAAGAAAATGTATTTTCTTGTTTATTTTCTTATTTCATTGAATTTATGTATAACAAGCATCTGGTTGATGCTGGTTAGTTTCGTGTATGGAAGGTTCTAATACTATCAACACTTCTACAATTTATCAGTAGATTTAAGAAAAATTCTTAAATTTACTATTATCTAAGTTAATATTAGATTCAGAAAGTTTTGTTGATTTGCCATATGATTACATTCTATATTATTTACGGTCTGGAGTATCAAGTTATCCGTAGAAATGTGATGGTCATATATTCTACACTTAAAATAGTTGCAGAAGAGTTGGGTTGGCATCTTCTGAATGAAAGCAAATGGAGCTGCATTAAAAGAATTCTCTTAATCTAAGTGTAAATAGAAAGATCTCCTCTTTATTATTCTATTCGTGGAGTTTCAAAATAGAGAGTTAGCTATCAATATCACTTGCTTGTTCTTCTGGCCTTGATGTTTTATGGCGTTATAGACATCCGATTTGATATCACAACGCGAAATGAGATAGTGCTTAAAGATCGCTCTATTATTTTGTTAACCTAGGGTAGTATGGAGTTTAGGTTTTTAATTTGACATGTACGTTGATATGTTATGAACATACAAGTCTCTTATGAACTCAAGAGACTGCGCAAGAGAGAAAGTTTTCTGTCGTGCAAGAGAGTATATCATGATATATTTTTAGCTTACTATGTAGTATATTTTGGTGAAAATCTTTCGTTCCTTTATTTATACCAATTTGTTGTGAAAAAGGTATGACATCAATACAAAGTTTGGATGCTCATTTGTCAATCTCACAGGTGAAATTGAAAACTTTGTGAAATTGAATAGCACAGGTAGTCTAGTTGCAGTATGGCATTTTCCTTTCATGATGCTACTGAGACCTATCCCACATTTCCACGTTATGTTATGATGCTATTGGACATATCCCCATGTTAACCGTTAGTTTACTTCAATGGTCGGATTGATGCGGTCTTCCCATCCTTTTCGCTGTATCTCAAATGCCCTTGAGGCGTGAAGCTTGGAATGTTCAGAAGATGATTTGCGGGAAATGAGAATCAGATACAACTAGTTTATCACGTGCGATTGGTCTCAACTGGGAAGTTTTGAACCGAGAGCAAATGATGCTTCCGTCCGAAGAGCTTTAGTGAACAGAATGAATCAATCGTTGAACAAGAAGAGTTTGGTCGGACTCTAGTTGCGTCAATGATCGCTTGGCTTTTGCATTCAACTGGTCACTGCCCAGCACTTGGCTCAATGCGTCAGTCTCTCAAAGGGGAAATTGGTGAGCGAAGCAGCAGACTGAAGCAGCAGACTGTATGGCTTCAATCCGAAAGTATGAAGTACACACAATGATCCGCCAATAAATGCTGGACAGGAATTTCATGGACCAAATGGAGCTGATTTTTAGGAGAGGAATATTAGCAGCGAGACGAGTCGCACTGAATAACGATGGCAAATACCTCATAAAATATATTGAAATAAAACAACGAAAACGAGAATCAAATGCCACAGAAGGCAAGTATGACCAGTGAGTTGCAAAGGCAGAATCACTAACATGCAATTTTTTAATGCCTTCAAATGCAGGGCGGGATGAGTTAAAGCAGCCTCCGGGGCCCAATGTCCATTTTTCTTCTAAAGTAGAAGCCTTGATAACACGACAGACACGAACGATCCCTAACTGTCCGTCTGGCGAAACTTCAAGTCTACACAACCATCCTGGGCAATGTCTATGATGTAAAGGTGCGTATAAATATATATGTAAAAAAGGCAATGCTTTTCAACCGGAAAATAGTTGCTTCAGGTCAATTAGTTTGAGATGAAGTTGACAAGCCATCTACCAAAGCAGCGTCGGCTCTCCTTAAAAGATTTGAGCAAATCAGAAGGTGACACGTCAACCTCAGATCTCAGGTTCTCAGAATGCGTCTCTGTAATCTGATCAATATTGGTTCAGAAACGAAATATGATTGATTGGAGCACAGTTGTTCCATCAGAGCCCATCTGTGCACAGGGTTTCTAGTTAGAGTGCTCCCTGGCCGGCCATGGAGTGGCCAAGGCCTATCTCTTTTATTGGAAGGACCTGTGGCATCGGCAGATCGTGCGTCATGAGTCAGTTTCCCTCTTAGGAGAGAAACTACACAGTGTATCTGTCATAGTTTCGGTGACGGTGACTTGACACCAAATGGAACTGCTAGGAGTAGATGAGAAAATACTGTGCTGTGTGACCAGGGCCTGACAAAAAATAATGAAGGGATTTACTGATCCGTGACGAAAGCAATGCCTCCATTGGGTTGCAATCAAGTGCACTGAGATAGTGCAGATTATATTTGCTCATTAATAGATCATGATTTGAAATCGTTTGACATCCTTATGTCGTGACTACCACGACCATAAAAGCGGACAAACACAATAAATTTAGACTACCTTCGTTCTGTATACTGAGGAAGAAGTTGTCCGAGCTTTAGGAACGTTTCGGTCTATGTTGTTTGTTTGTAGTGCAGTTCTGTCTTCCGCAAACGGAACATTGGAG